GAGCCAGTTGAGAGGTCACCATGCTTTCTTTTGTGGTAGTCATCAGGATGGAGAGGAGGGCAGAGGGGAGGCAAGGGGATGGGAGGGGAGGGGAGGGAGAGGAAGGAAGAGTCACCCAGATTGCTCCTTTCCTCAGCTCCACTCCCTCTTGGGTGAGGGAGAGTGACCCAAATGCTGCTGCCAGACTCACTAGGGAAAAAAAAAAAAAAAACAGCCAGGCTAAGCACCCCAGCTCCAGACTTAAGGCCCATAACTGTGGAGTGAATACTTACAGCTTTCAGCTGGGGGACCTGGGCCACTTCTCTGTCACATGCTGGAAGAAAGCAAACCTGCAGCAGTTCAGAGAGGACATGAGAGAGAACTTTGCTCTGCGCCTTGGAGCTCAGAGCAGGTCTGCTATGCTAGAACCTAACTCCTGATGAACCCCAAAGGCCTCTAGCATACAACCAGTGTCACAGATAAAGCCACTTGACTTGCCTAGCACCTTTCTGAGACCTGTACACCAGGTGGGCAGACTCCTTTTGGTGTGTGTCACTGGTACCCTCTGCTGGACTTGGAGAACATAGCCACTGTTTATGGAGATCTGTTACTCTAGGAATTCAGTGTGACCAGTCTCAGACCAGTATGGGTGGTCACGAGGCCATGTGACCACCATCCCATGTCTTGGGATTCCAAGGGTGGGCAGATCCTAATGGGTTCCATCTGTTGAGAAGAATCAGTCAACAGAGTCTGTGGACTGGGCTCAGTATCAGGAAGAGACTTACACCCTGGAGAGACAGACATTTTTGATGTGTATCACTAGTAGCCTCCCAAGGGCCTTTTGTGAAACCCCAAGATAACATAGGGCATGGTGATTGTGAGACCCAGGTCCCACAATGCAGTGTGCTAGGTGTTGCCTACCTAGTAACCTGCCTAAGTAGTGAAGAAGCTGCCTCTATCACTCTCCCTATATCCTGGGACAGAAAGCAAGGGATAATTCTTCTCTTTGGGACTCAATGCCTAGCTGATAAAACTGAGCATTGATGAGATCGTAATAGTCCCTTTTTAGGCACTTCTCCCAGGCACTGCTTAACAACTAAAATTTTGGGGCAAATTTGAGCTTGGGGAGTATTGTATGATTGAACCAATAAGAACAAATCAATAGTGGACCTGGGGCAAACCATGACTTAGGGTGCTATGCAATGCTGAAGTAACAGAAGCATCCATAGTCTCGGAGGGAATAACAAACAGCACATAATTTCTAGAAGAAGAGCTATAAATAAAGCCAGATTGTTATAACTAATCCTTCAATGTGCAGATGATGCTGTACACCAATGAGCATTAAGGATTTCCAGGGAAATGGGACCTCACCTTAAGAGCAAAATAAGCAATCATGTAGCACCTGAAATATTCAAATGCTTGGTCGAAGATTTTAAAATGCCATTTTAAGGATTCACAGAGAAATTATTTGATATTCTAGCAGATATCTGATAGAGACTGAAGCAATTAGATGATACCTAGCAGATGGTCTTCAACTGAAAAGTACACTGAGTGAAACTGAAAATGCAGTATAAGGCATCAATAGCAGAACAGATCAAATGCGAAAAAAAACTAAGAGCTCAGTGACAAGCTATTTAAAAATACACAATTGGAAGAGAATAAAGAAAAATAACCAAGAGGAATGAAGAAATTTTACAGGAAATATAGGGTAGCACAAACCGAGCAAATATATGAGTTACTGAAATTCGATAGAGAATGCCAAATGGGTAGAAGGCATATTCAAGAAGACAATAGCAGAAAACTTCTCAAACCTTGAAACAGATACAACTATCAGGTACAGGAAGTTCAAGCATCACTAGTCAGATCAGTTCTGTCAAGTATAAACCAGATCATGTTATAGTCAAAGTGTTAAAGTCAAGCCATGCTATAAGCAAGGTTAAACAGATTTCTCAATATTGTAAGGGAAATGAAGCAAACAACATATAAAGGCACCCGGATTTCCCTGACTGCAGACATCTCAGGAGAAACCTTACACGCTAGAGGAGAGTAGGGTAAGACTTTTAAAGGACTGAAGGAAGAAGTTGTCAGTCAGGAATACTGAATCCATCAAGGCTATCTTTCAGATATGAAGGAGAGATGAATATATTCCCAAACAAAAGGTGAGAAAATTGATCACTATTCGACCTGTGTTACAAAAATGCTAATGATAGTTCTTCAGACTTAAAGAACGTGACGCTAGCAGCTAACATGAAAATATCAGAAGGGAGAAAGTTCATAGGTAATGTAATTTTATGTAACACTATAAACATGATATGTAAACCATATTTATTGTGAATGTTAAAAATTATAATCACTACATTAAAATATTATGAAACATAAAATATTGAAAAGGTTAAATAAAATTTCAAGAAGTCAAAATGTAGGGAAGAAAGGTCCACAAATATAGAGCTCTTTATGAGGAGCCCATGACTTGCTCCCTGTTTATAATCAATGTTAATTTGGTTTCATTCCAAGATTGCTTGTCATAGCTACAAAGCAAGAATCTTGTAAGACCTTCCAAAAATAAGCAAGCAATCAATATTCACCAATACAGAAAATCATTTATAAACAAATGCAGACTGTACAGAAGAAAGAAACAAAAGAAAAAGAAAAAAGAAGAGAGAAAGAGAGAAAGAAAAGAACTAGAGCATAAATTTTAAAAATTAGCAAGTTGGCACTAGTAAGACCTCACCTATCGATAATTACCTTAAATGTAAATAGGCTAAATTCTCCAGTTAAAAGACATGGGGTGACGAAATAATTTTTAAACAGGACCTGAATATATAATGCTGACAAGAAATTCACTTGACCACTGAAGACACACAGAGACTGAAACTGAAAGTATGGAGCGAGATATTCCATGAAATGGACACAAAGGAGAGGAGAAGCAGCCATGTTTCCATTTGGTAAAAGAGATTCTAAATCAAAATCAGTAAAACGAGACCAGGAAGGTCACGTGTTAAGTGTTCACTCCAGGAAGGTCACGTGTTAAGTGTTCACTCCAGGAAGAGAAAATGATGCATGTAAATATATGTTCACCACCACTGCAGTATCCAAATACACAAATCAAATATTAATAGATACTCAGAGACTGACGGCAAGGTAATAACATAGGGAACTTTAGCACCTCACTTCTAGAAATGGACAGGTCATCTGGTCAGAAAATGAACGAAGAAACAGAAGGGTTAAACTGCACCTGGCTCCTGGCTTTGGATCGGTGCAGTTCCAGCCATTGTGGCCAATTGGGGAGTGAACCATCGGATGGAAGACCTCTCTCTCTCTCTCTCTCTCTCTCTCTGCCTCTCCTCTGTGTAACTCTTTCAAATAAATAAATAAATAAAAATAAATAAATAAATCTTTAAAAAATATATAATGGTGATTACCAGAAGTTGGGAAGAGAATTGCTGAAGGAATGTGGAAGGGTCACTGATGTGTACTAGGTCTTAACCAGATAGGAATAAGAAGCTCTGAGTACTGCTAAATAGTAGGGTGACTATAGATATTGCTAGTGCACTGTATATTTCTCTATTAAAAACAAAAAGCTGTTTGAGTTATCATGGTAAATATCAATCTCTGCCTATCTCCAAATGTACTCTTTCTTCATTGCTTAAGTGTCAATCAATATCCCTATCTGCTTCCTTCAAATTTCTTAGGCTCCTGCTTCTCAATTCTCTTTTTCTCATACTCGTATGCCATTCATCGGTGACAGTGGCAGAGCCTTCACAATACGTTCCAAATCTAACCACTTCTTTCTAAGTCTACTGTTGGCATTACATTCAAAGACACTACACTTAAAGACACTATTACTTCTTACCTGGACTACTAAAAAAGGCTTTTCAAAATATTAATTTATTTTAAAACAAATTAGAATGTGTCACTACATAACTAAACATATCCACAGCTTTCCAACGCCCTTGGGGTAAAATTCCAAACATTTACTTAAAGTCCACAGGCTTCCATGTGATCTTACTCTAGGTTATTTCTCCTAGCTCATAATCTGCCATTTTTTTTTTTTTTTGACAGGCAGAGTGGACAGTGAGAGAGAGAGACAGAGAGAAAGGTCTTCCTTTGCCGTTGGTTCACCCTCCAATGGCCACCACCGCCGACGTGCTGCGGCCGGCGCACCATGCTGATCCGATGGCAGGAGCCAGGTGCTTCTCCTGGTCTCCCATGGGGTGCAGGGCCCAAGCACTTGGGCCATCCTCCACTGCACTCCCGGGCCACAGCAGAGAGCTTCTGCCATTTTTTCTTAAGTCATGCTTATCGCCCTAGTCATATTGATGTTCCGATAGCAAGTCAAGCAAGTTCATGCCTCCCTTTTATAACCATAGAGTAAATTCACTTAAGTATCTCAATAAATTTTGGAAATTAATCAGCATTTGTTAACAAATCATATATGCCATCAAATATAAATTCCAGTTGGTATTAAATATGAACTAAATCAAGAATAAATTAAAGCTCTCATTGTAGGATATCAACATACTGTGATAGTATAACCATTAGGCATATGCAGTTTCTTATACATAAATGCTGCCTGTATCATTAATAGTACCACTTTAAACTGATCATCTAGTTAAAATGTTTAAATTGTCAATTCTTTCTTTCAGTTTAAAATTGTTGGTTTGGCCTAATTGCTGATATTTTATACTATAAGAATATTTCAAATTTCATAATTTGATATTCCAATTAAACTGAGCTACACTTCAATCCTTATAGTTTATGATGAGAAAAGTAACATTAATTTTGAATGTTTCTCAATTTGGCACTTTTTTTTAACTTAAAACACGTAAGTTGATAGCAAGTCCCAAAATCAAAAATTAGACTTTACTAAGACAAAACAAATAACCCAAAATATTGAATCTGTCTTCCTAGTCAATTCTGGTATTCTTTCAATATCTAGAGAAGCAAAACAGAACAAAGCAAAACAAAAACAAACAGTAATTAAAAAAACCCAAAAATTATAGCAATGGCACATTTCTTACCATTCACCTGGAAGATGTGAATCTGATAGATTTCTTCATAGCCTTGTGCGTAGCAAGTGTAATTGCCCATGTGAGTTGTAGTCACCTTCGTGATATACAAGGACCCATCATCTCCAAAGTCCTACAAAGAAAGTACAATGAAGTAAAACAAATTGTACATATCAGAATATATTTTAATAATTTCATCTTAAAACATATGTTCAGAAGTAAATTAAGTGGAATAAAGAATTGCTTTAAAACTATTAAAAAGGCCATAATAAATGTGTAAGACTTAACATGGCCATTTTCTTAAACTATATTGTGTTTATAAAGTGTTGATCTCACTAATAGCTTTTTGCATATTTATCTGTGATATGAGTTTATATACAGAACAAACTAATTTCTATGTGTTAGTTGTAATTTGATTAATAGACATATTTTTTCTTTTGACAGCAAAACCAAATGGCTGATAATTAATTTCTCATACTTGTAATTATCCACTAATGTTAGATTGTTTTTAAATATTTATCAAAAAAGTAGCTATTAAACATTGTGATTTCATCAATTAAATTTATAGCCATATCATAGAATGGAATATATTTTCTAAGCCTAGAAACCAACCACTATTTTCAAATAAAATGACTATACCATGGCAAATCAGATAGGACATTCATACGACCATTTTGGAAAAAAGAAAGAAAATATGTTGCACTGTTTATTGAGATCAAAATCAAGAAGCACCTACAGAATGCAAGGACAGACCAGAAAGTATGTTTTTCCATAAAGGGCAATGAATACACTTAAAAAAAAGTGTCAAAATCAGTTCTTTCAAACCTGTGGAATAGATAAAAGTTGTCAGCAATCTACAGTATATTTACCTGAAAACCCGGCAGACTCTCAGGAAGAATAATGAGATTGGTGGGATTTTAAGTTGACTTTCTCTTTCTTTGTCCATAACTGCATGGTAGCCTTGAACCCCCCTCCTGGTAACTGCTCACTGTGAGAACTCTAATCAAAGCAGATATTGGAGGGCAAGAACAAGCCTGCAGCACTCACACTGCCCCATCCTCAGAGAATTGTCTCTCTTGGATCCCGCTGACAGTTCCTTGACAACTTATATTTTCACAACTTTTCTTTACTGGAGCAGACTCAGGGCTCACTCCGTGTAAACAGTCCTACCCCACAGCCTTTATTACAAACAGCAGCAGCAGGTGTTTAATGTGATGACGCCCTGAGACAGAGATACTATGTGGGGCAGACACCAGGACAACCAAAGAAACTTAAAAGGAAAAACTGGAGACTAAGATGTGCCTAGAGGGATTTGAAAAGCTCCACATATTCGTAGGAACATAGAAGGCCATACACATGAGCAGGGCAGTGTCTTCCCAGGGAAGACATGGGAATTATTTACCGTTCATCCAGACATAACGCAGGAAAGAAAGGAAGGTAAATTAAATTTCCTTAATACTTCTTTCTCCATAAAAGTCACCAGTAAAGTCAAAAGATGATGGAAGAAAATATTAGCAAACCATTTATCAAATATGTGCCTTGTTTCCAGAAAAAATTAACTACTATAATTCAACAAAGAACATGAACGGTCCATTTAAAACAATGGTTAAGGTTTTCAAATTAATGATTTTCAAAATATTTGCAAGTGATTAACTCTATAAAAGGATGTACTGCATTATTAGTCATCAAAGAAATGCAAATAAATATGAAAATGAGATACTGCTTCAAACTCACTAGGTCTGCTTAAACAGAAACACAAACAGTAACATCTTAGGAAACAGAAACTTGGAACTTGAGAGCATTGCTCGTGAGAATATTAAATGGTGTATTGGTTCTGGTAGCAAATCTGCCAAGCTTCAGAAGTTAGAAGTTATCTGTGACTAGCAATTTCATTTCTAAGATAAGAGTATACCCAAAAGAATCAAAACATATCTAAACACAGACTGTACACAAATGTTCACAGCTCAGAAAAGCCACAAAGTGATAACAACCCAAACATCTATCAGTCCATGAGAGAATAAACACAACACAATGTGTATACATATATATATATGTATATATAATTTTATGCTATAAAATGAAACCATATACACAAGAGATAAATTGCATGAGTCCAATTACACAATATGCCCATAAAGACCATATGCACAACATTAAAGACATATTACCGATAACTGGAAATGAGGGGTTGGGAATATAAGAACCAACTTCCTATAGATAGGAAGTCTTTTTTTTTTTTGCAGAAATGAAAATATTCTCTATTTGATAAACATAATATTTGCAATGATTTGCTAACTTGGTATAAATCACTGATTTCATACATTAAAGGGTTTATTTTATGGAATATAAGTTATATCACAGCAAATCTATCATTCAAAATAAAATCTACGTGATATAAATATCAAAATGACTCATGCTATAATAAAACTTTATTACTGTGAATTATGTAATATTTAATAGAAAAAAATTTAAATCAAAAAAATAATGATTGATATATTTATATAAAAATAAATACTTCTGGGCCAGGCACTGTGGCATAGTAGGTTAAGCCTCCACCTGTGGCTCTGGTATTCCATATGGGCACCAGTTTGTGTCCCAGCTGCTCATCTTCTAATCTGGCTCTCTGCTTATGCCTGTGAAAGCAGTAGAAGATGTTCCAAGTCCTTGGGTGCCTGTACCCATGTGGGAGACTTCTTAGAAGTTTCTGGCTCCTGGCTTCAGATTAGCCCAGCTCTGGCCTTTGTCGTCATTTGGGGAGTGCAGCAGTGGGTGGCGGTCCTCTCTCTCTCTGTCTCTCCCTCTCTCCTTCTCTGCAATTCTGTATCTCAAATTATAAATCAATCTTTTAAATAAATAAATAAATAAGAATTCTACATTTTCAGGCAAAAATAAACTGTAGATACGCAAAATCTAAAAAACTCAATGCATATATTCTTATATGTAATTAATTATTATGTGCCAAATATTGTTCTAAATATTTCACAAAAATCAACACGTTTGATCTGTATATGAAACCTATGAAACTTAAACTCCACACCAAGCTGCCTTCCTGGTCAGTCATAAACTGAGGTAGGAATAAGGGCAGAAAAAGGAACAAAGAAGAATTGGGACAAAATGCTCAAAACAAAAGAGGTGAAATACAATAACAGGGATAAAGAAAAGAGAATGGGGACATCGGGAGCATTTATGAGAAGGGGAAATTAAAACTACCTGCAATAATATAACAGTGCTCCAATACCTATACTTTATGTGAAGGCACATCAAAGATTTGGAAAAATGAAGTTGGGAAAAGATTATTTGAGTGTAAAAACTTTTTGGAATCCTTGCATAGGTTTTCATAACATGCATTTTCCATGAATTTTTTGAAGATTGCTGGTATTTCTGACTTTACCTGTACTCATGCAATGTGCAACTATGTTAAAAATAGCTTCCCCCTAGCTGATACTCAGTACAGATTGATTGCAATCAAGGAAATTGCCACAAGAGTATTGAACTTTGGCCTGAAAATATACTAATAAAATGTTTTAACAAGAAGAGAGATCAGGAGACAGGGAAGAGGCTGAGTGAGAGTGTTATGACGGTGTTATGATGTGCACCAAAGGACAGAATTTGGAGCCTGAACCCCAACAAGCTACGTGGTACAACTGCCGTGATCTGACTCCTTGCTGCACCAGAAGCTGCCATCGAAACACAGCTCAGGGGCAGCATTGTCACACAGTGGGTTAAGTCGCTGCCTGTGATGCCAGCATCCATATTGGACCCGCTGGGTCTTGTCCCAGCTGCTCTGCTTCCAATCCAGCTTCCTGCTAACATGCCCAGGGAAGCAGAGGAAGACAACTCAAGCACTTGGGTCTGTGCCACCCATGTGGGAGATCTAAATGGAGTGTCAGGTTCCTGGCTTCAGCCTGGTAAAGGACAGCTGTCTCAGTCATTTGGGGAGTGAACCAGAAGAAGAAAGATCTCTTTACCTCTTAGATTATCTCTCTTCTGTCTGTGCCACTTTTTTTAAAGAGTTATTTATTTATTTGAAAGGCAGAGTTACAGAGAGGCAGAGGCAGATACACACACACACACACACACACACACCCCTAAACATGGGACGTCCTTTTCTATTACAATCAAAATTCTTTCACTTCATTATCCAAAAATGTATTTTGAAAATGTTTCAACTGACTTACTGCAATCTATTATTCCATAACATGAAACTGTTTTGTCCAAATAATTTCCTTTTCAAGTTAGCAGGCATACGACCCCTTCTCAGCTAAATATTTTTGTTTACACCTTTTTCATCCTTTCAAGTGAAATCAGAATCTACTAGCCTGAATTTCCTTCAATATGTGAATTTATAAACACCTTTTCAAGTAGTTTGTTTTTAAATAAGCAAGACTTTATTTAATGTCTCCTCATTAATTTTAATAAAGTGTGTTTCTTTCTATACGTAGTAAAGCCCAGTTTTTACTCTACAGTTAAATATGTTAAGTGCTGAGGTAAATAATGTTAAATAACTTGGTTGAGATCAACATAGGGGCAGTGTCTGATTAACACGCAGACTATAGAACCAACTATGTAATTCCCAGCATTTTCCTTTTTTTCCAGATTCTCTATTAATTTTAGCCCAAACTTCAAATTATCCATTGAATTTTATTTTAATACAAACACATCAATTGTATTCTAACTTCACCCTGATTCAGCATTTCCAATCTGTTAGTTTCTCAGCATTTTTCTAATCTTAAACAGATCAAATCAGAATTTTTATTTCTGTGCTTAGCCACTGTGGAGATTTCTGGCCTTAGAATCAACACTCTGAATTCAGGGCAAAATCCTGCACTTATCTGGAGCCCACATAACTCCTTTATAATCTTACTGCCAGCGGATACTGCATAAACATTCTCAGTGGTTAAATCTTTGTGACTCTGCACCATTACAGAGTTGCCTCAAGTGCTGATGTGAAAGAGTAGCCAGGAAAAAAAAAATTATTGATTTTCTTAAGTTAATTGCTTATATTCTTTGAAGGGCAATGAAATGGGAACGTTGGCGGGAAAAAAGTATATATGCAATACATCTCTAAAATTTTGAACAATTTCATGGCACTAGCAATGGACTATAATGAAGAGTGAAGATCAAGATACTTAA